GCCGCTCTACCACAGAGGGAAGAGTTCTGGGGCAAAGACAAACGCCAGACAAATGTCTTCCTCCACAAAATTCTCGAAAGCTCCACTTCACCATTTCGGAACTTCTCAGGAGGTGCCAATGGTAAAGAATCCATATGCCAATGCAGCAGACACAAGAGACGCGGTTTCCATTAGGAGGGGAAGGTCCCCTGGAGGAGGAAATGGCAACCCACTCCAGTATTCCTGCCTGGGAAATCCCGTGGACAGAGGAGGCTGGTGAGCTACAGGGCACTGGGTAGCAAAGAGTCGGACATGACTACGCACCCACGCATGCACGCCTGATTTCTACTGACCTTTCATTGGCTAGAACAGAGTCACATGGTCATTCCTAATTTCATGGGCATCAGGGAAAGTAATTTTACCAGAGAACATTTGACTTCTCTTAATTAGGAAAAAGGGAGAAAGGATATTGAGATGGGAATAGCCTTGCCACAAAAAAAGTTTAACTTCTTCATTCCTTGTTCCTGACTGGCCGAACGACTCCAGGAACTCATTCCACAGAAAAAACAAAATATATTTCTAAAATACAAGAGGATAACATCACAACAAATCGCTACACTTTTCAAATTTAAGCTTAACCCACATTTTGCACATTACATCAAAAGTACTATGCATTTACCACCATAGATTTATGGTTGTAGTTCCATTGTTAGGGACAGAGTTGTGCATGTGATGGTGTTCAGTGCGTGTTGTGTAAACAAAGGAACATATCAGGCACACAGTATAACACTGTACTGTGTAGTGAGCTCATAAAACACATGCATCTTGCTGGCATGTTATGGGGAGGCCCTGCAGTGGTGGTTGGGGACTGGGCTTTAGTCTTTGCTTCAGAGTGTTTTATCTTGGTGATTGCCACTGCCCGACGGGTAGCTTTCTGATGATTTGATTTCTATAAACAAGGATTTTAGGAAATTAGGGGAAATAACAATTGAAAAGCTATTATGATCAAGCAAAAAAGGGCAATGACCCCATCCTTTATGGAAAAGTTATTGTTCTGTCTTCTTTCTGAATCAGAAAAGAAGCCTTGCTTTCTATAATTATATGATTTATAAATTTCCTACATAGGCAACTATAGTATTGAATATGATTTTCAGTTTATAGGCATATTAAACCTAAGAGTACAATGACCCAAATGATACGCCCCTAGACCTAATAGTCTTTTCTCCATACCTATCCCAAGTGTAGGGGTACGTCCTTCTTTCCTTCTCCTTGAGGAAGGGTCTTTTTCTGTCAACCTATCTCCTCAAATATTGTCTCAATAGATAGTACAGATCATCTGTAACAAAACTAAACATAGAGGCCATGGTAAATGCCAGAAAGAAGATTTTGCATTTCTAGTATGTTCCCAGTTGAGGCAGATACTGACAGTGCCCAATGACACTTCGGTAGTAAGGCACTGGTTTCAAAACTTGACTGCACTTTTGGAGTCCAGGGGGAGATTTTATAAATGCTGATGCTTGGTTCTATCCAAGAAGTTGGATTTATTTGTTACAAGGTTCAGTTTGAGCATCAGATTTTGAAAAGCTTCCCCAGGTGATTCTAAAGTGCAGCAAAGTTTGAGAACTACTGTGGTAAACGAATGAGAAGACTTTTTTTCTGTAGGTCCCTCTAAATGCACAGTTCGGTGGACTTCTGTCTCCTTGTATGGCCCTCTACAGTTGGTACTGACTTCTGGGTCTCTTTTAATTCAAGAATAGTGCGTAGCATAGGGCTTGTTTCTTGGCAAGGATCAATCATAGGCTGTTGACTACTCAGCAATAGAAGGATGTGTTCTACTGATATGCTTTGGCGAAGGGAGAGGTGATTTACTTTTCATTGAAAACATGGGTCCAACACACTTCTACTTACTGCAGTTTCTTTGCCATGTTTCTTCCAAGGAAGTTCATATATAAAGGGCTTAGAGATCTTGAGAATTGAGGGTAGAGAAGAGAGAAGAAAATGGTGAGAAGATGACAGTAAAGAGGAAGGAGAGACAGCAGGGAGAAACTGGAGAGAAAAAGAGGATAAGAAATGGGTAGAATATGATGAATGTGGGAGAAGTGAGAATAGAACAGTAATGAAAAGTTGCTAGTATATTCACTAACCACCATCTATGACAGGTGGTTCTATTGAGATCAACAACAAAGACTATTTAGATTAGCAAACTTATGGTCTCATTGGGAGACACAAATCAAATGCTTGAAAAGTTATATAAAGCTATTCAATTGTTAAAGGATAATGTGTGACCAGAAGATAACACATAGACAGATCAACAAATGAGAGTTATGGGCAATGGATAGCACAAACTCCATTTTTATGTGGGGAAATTGTATCAACCCTGTTGTAATAAATTCCTTATTCTTACTTTGCTTTATCAAGTTAACATTAAGCTTATAGAAGGCTAGTGAAGAAATAACATTTAACTCATCTTTCATCAGCGAGTCTTTCAGGGAAATTATTTAAATATCTACTTTATATTCGTTTCCTCCAGCCTGTACCAACCAGGATGTGGTTTATGAATATTCACTTTGAGAAAACAAACTTCTAAGAATATGCTTCTTTAAGATACCCTTTTCAGAGCCTCACCACACTCTCAATGCCATGATGTACATCTAGAACTTTCTTATTAGGGTTGAGGTCTTGACACAAATTTTTGTGAGAATAAATAATGGGAATTCAATCCATTCATAGTGGTGAAGTTTTGGTATCTTGTTATCTTTTCTAAGAAACATTCTTAATTTGATGTGTTGAACTTTGGCAATCCAAGTCCCTTTAGTGACATAAAAGCAGCCAGACTTTAAAAGATGCTGACAGATGTTGTGATAGTTTTTTTTTTTTTTTACAGTGGAGCTGAGTTCCCTGTTCGGCTGCATGTAATTAGGCATGCAGATAGAGCTTCACTCATTTTACTAGTCCGATGGGAGGGAGCGGGGGCTGGGGCCCCAAAGCTGTGCTTATGAAAAGGAAACACTCTTTCTTCAACATGTAAGTGTGTCTTGATTTCTATAAGGATATAAAGAGTTTGCGTCTTCAGTTTTAAAATTCTGCACAAAACTAAGTTTGTGGTAAGGAAAACATCATGTCTACTAATTTCAAGCACACATAATTCACCCATGTCATAAGGAACTTGGACAGTAAAGATGTTGTACATGTGTGATTTAAGACCAGCATTTTTAGTGTCCTAGAAACATCGTTAAACACAGCATGCATTGTCTCATGGTCTGGCTCATCTGAATCCATTCGACTTGCCTATTTTACCTTTTTTAAAAAAATTCTTTGTTCTTCTGTGGTTAGTACTGTGGCATCTAAAATGATAGTTTCAACAAACAATCAGATTGCCAGAATGTTCTAGGTCGAGGTAGCATCTCTTTCTTTCAAACTCCTCGCATTTCCTTTGCTGTGTTTAATTGGGAACTCTGTGTCTGGCTCATAAAATCTCTGCAGAATGTCCAGCTCCCTTCAACTTTTGAGTTTAAAAACACAGTCTAAGAACAAAATGGGGGCCTCTGCAAGTGCGGGGGTGGGCGGGCAGAGAGCGCACTCTCTGGATCTCCTTCCTTTGTAGACCCCTTTCGAGGGAAAAGTCCCGAAGGTTGGCTCACATGACTCCAGGATCACCTCCTCGGCACTGAACAGAAAGCACAGGAATCCACTTGTCACATATGCCGGCCATATATTCTCGGTTAGAATCTTACACATTAGGATAGAGCAGTGAAGTGTGAGGAAGCGACCGAACAGGGCACATGAGGCCAAGGGCCACAATCAGAACAAGGCGTCTCCCTGGAGGAGAAGACAGTGTGAGAAATGTAGACCCACACACGGCACCAGCCTCTCACAGGAACTCACAGGACCCGGATGAGGACAGTGCAGACTGGCTGACATTCACAGACATGCTGTTCTGTAGGTTGGAAGGAACCTCCCTCCTAGATGGGCATGCCAGTCTCCTCCTTTCCCCAGATTTATTAAGGAGGCAGGTCCCTTGCCCAAGACTGGAGGGGCGTCCAGGACTAGAGCCAGCACCACACCGCCACAAGCTTCCTGCATGCCAGTCCAGTGGTCCATGCACTAAGAAGGTACTGTTGTGCAGGACGGACGGACAGGGCAGTGAGGACCATGAACAAACTTGTATCAAAGCCAAGCCTGCTATTGCTAGTGGTAGTGCCTTGGACACGGAATTTATACCTTCTGAAGTTTAATTTTCTAATCTATAAAATGAAAGTCATTACACCTTAAGCATGGCTGGTACACAAAAGGCACTTAACCATTACCCCTTCTCCTAAACTCCATTGCATGTCATCAAAGCCCAAGTTTGTTGAATGACCCACCTTTCAAAAATTGCCTGTTAATTCAGTACCTTGACCTATTTTGTCCACCAGGACACAGAATGGTCCACAGCTGATGGCAGAAACATTGCTAGTGATTGCTGATAGCATACACTGCTCCCTCCTACTGATAAGAATACGTACTACTTTCAAACTACAACTTGACAGGCCTCTTACAGACCATGCCAACACTTTGAAAATAAAACTCTTGAAGTTGCAACAGAAATACATTTTCACATGATAGGACAAAACCATCTGGAACTTACTCTTGCATGGATTCAAAGCGCTGCATCAACAATAGGGCTGTTATGAACTCAGGCTCCACACTGCCCCCTAAAGGGATTAGACAGGCCTCATCATGTGTTAGAGGCAGAAAAAAAGAGACCCAAGAAGGGGCTAAATCCTTAGCTGTCATTAGTATTTTCTCTTGTCAACACTGAGATTTGAAAAGACAGAAGGAATTGACTTACTTTATATACTCGTTTGATCCTTTAGTACTTTAGTGAAAAGTAGAATGTTTTATTTTACCCCTATGGGAAAGCAGCTCAACTGGGCAGTTTGTTCCTGAAATAAAATACCAGCGGTCAAAATATGCTTAAAGCCCCTTAGAAATCAGAACATCACAGACTTATTAGAAAGTAAGTGCCCCAAGCTTACAGGTGGTTGTTAACATTGTTTTATTTCCTTTATACAAAAAGTAAAAACGACAGAAAAAAACACTCGACAGAAAACAACAGCACTGACCTGGTCACCGGGAGAAGCTGAGCCCAAATTGCCCATATTATGGGGAAAGGGAGGTTCGGTCAGCATCAGCAAACACCCATGCAACTGATGAGACAAAATGTGTCAGTGGCTGGTGGATGTCCTGTGGGGAGGCTGAATCCATCTTAAAAAACATACATTTGCCCAATCATGCTTTCAAACTGCATCTCTTTAAAAACAAGTTATATATACAAATATCACCCCAAAATGTGTCTTATATACGCTAGTGCTATAAATTTAAGGCATCCTAATCGTCTGGTCTTCTGCTGGTGAGGCATTGTTCTCATGATTCTATTTCCACAGAGGACAGTCCAGAAATTTCCAATGGTGTCCAAAGGGCAGCAATGAGAGATAATAAAAAAGTGATTTATAAGAAGAGTTCTTTTGATTCTGGCTCAGCAACATGCTTTATACTGTAGGATTTCTTCATTTTTCTACTGATGTCATCATGCCTAAGTGGAAGACAAACCACAAGGCCAAAATTAGATAAAACTACGGTCAAGTTACAATACAATGCCACTAAACAGCTCACCCAAAATGGAAATTATCCTCACACAAACCACACTGAAGAACACTTCATTCCAGAATGCAAATTATTCTTTTTTTCACATAAACCACTCTTTAAACAATAAAAGGAATAGTCACGTAATAACATACTATGTGGATACTTTAAAATCTGGCCCCGGAAGTAATTACTCAATCAGGCCGATTGGAATCCAGGTAAAATTCTACTGTCAAATGAATTTTATCAGTTAAACAAAATAGGAAGAGTAGTACTGCTTGTTAAATTGAAACAATAGATATTTATATTTTATTCATGGGGTTCACTGGTGACACTCTTTATTCTCCAGTAAGCTTGAGTATTAACAGTTTAAAGGAAATGCTTTTGCTTTGGGTGTGTGATTACTGAGCAGTAGCACGATGGAAAAGCACAAGTAGGTATATCAATAGGAAAAAGAAGAGCCTAGGGAACAGTAGTGCTGTTTCCCCCTCAATACTCAATACCTTCTGAATCTACGCAAAGAAGTACCAGCTCAAGTCTGGGAACAGTTTAGCTTTCGATGTGAATTTCCCCTGGGAAGAAGCATTCATTTTCATTGAAATATTAGTCCCATTTTGGGTGTAAAATCTCCCAGACAGGACTTATCTTCTGAGTGTGAGCAAGTGTGCATACTACTAAATTCCTTCTTGTTGCTAAGCCAGACAAAAACAAACTGTTTCTGGGAATTGTACTTGCTCACATGAGGCCACATTTGAATGGAGAACTCCAAGCGTGGCTTTATGGCCCTCAAAATCACTCTTGCTTACAAAGATCATGTAGTTTATTCTTAGACTGGTTAATAATGATCATCATCACTGTCTGAAAGCTGTAATTCTTATTTTTATTTAAAGTTCATCCGAACAGAACTTTAGAGAGATGTTTATGGGAAAGAAAGGGAAGAGTGTGAAAGTAAAACCTGGTTGGTTAAAAGATTAGGAACTTCCAATTAAGCATGATAGACTGAATACATAGTATTAATCATCTCTTTCTTACAAAAGAACAAGCAAATGAATAAAAAAGGCACCAACCCAAATGAATAAGGGAAATGGAAGAGGAGATGATAACACACACAAAATGCCAATAACATTTCAGAAACAGGAAAATGGATGAACACGTGGAACTGATTTAGCAGAGCAGGTAGGAAAAGCAGAAATCTAAGCCTACAGTCAGGGAACCCAACAAACTGATGTTCATGATACAGGAACTAGAAACACTATATACTTCTGAAAGTTGCAGTGGGTGCTGTGTCAGTGCTGAAAATAGGAAGACTATTCTAAAACTTTTTGGAAGTACAAGTTCATACCCAGATTACCTTCCTGACCTAATGCAGCCAGGTGACTGTCCCTTTCCCAATGTGAAGAGAGACCGCAGGTTACAATTTGCAAGGCATGGACCAGAGAGACTCTAAGTTCAGCTGAAGGGGGTGAAGACCATGGGATTAGGTGAAAGTTATAAAACACAATTGTCAACCCATCCCCTGTTACTTTAACCCAAAGATTCCTGGAAAGTAGGTTAATAGATCTGAGGAGGAGACTGGAGTTACCTTATCTTGAGAAATGAACTGCCAAAAGAAAAGTCCTATAAATACTGACCGTGAGTTTCCCAGCCAAAGAGCCTAGTGCTTAACCAGTCTGTGTGATGCAATATCTACAGTCAACAAGCCAGAGCTTCTGTTCAGTTTTAGTGTCTTATTCTTAAATATGAATGGGTTAGGGATCACCAGATATTTGAAAAAAGTGCTACTATGACAGGCAGAGACCAAGATAAATAGAGAAACAGCAGTCAAAGTAAATAGAGATAATATAAGAGGTGAGAAGAACTTCAAAAAATTGTAACAAGGAAAACTGCGGAAAACATTTGCTATTTGTATCACAAAGCGTTAATTTTTATAATGTATAATACATAAAGAGCTGCTACAAATCAACAAGAAAGACCAGAATCTCAATTAAAATGTAGAAAGAATTAAAAATAATTCATTCATGCAAATAAAGAATACATATCTATGTAAAAGAATGAAGAAGCTCTCTTTAATGAATACATAAAGACCTCTAAAATGATAGGTGAAAAAAACCAAGAAGCAAGACTATGTGTAAAGGATGCCATCTTTATTGTAAAAAAGAAGGAAACATAAAAATATACATTTGTTTTTGTATTTGAGTATAAAATTTAAATAAGTCTTGCATACTTAATGCTATGAAAAAAAAAGAGAAAACCAATAAAATGCTACTGAATATAAGCACAATAATCAAAGAAATAAAAAGTTAGAAAGGTTGGAAAGTAAAGTTGAGTAAATATCCTAGGAAGAATTTTTAGAAAAAGCAAAAGTATGGATAAAAATAGGAGAAATATAGTTAAACAATACTTAGAAAAATAGAAAAAATAGGTATAAAAGGATCAGTCCCATGTGTTGAACATCAGATTAACAATATTTTCAGAAAAATGAACAGAAAAGCAGTAGGGGATAAAATTTTCAAAGAAATTGTACAAAAACACTTCCCAGTACTGAAGCACACAGATTTCCAGACTGAAAAAGCCTGCTGAACACTCACACCCCAGAAATGAGAATAGGATCATGGCAAAGTATCATGAAATCAAAGTACTGGTGATAAAGAGAAAAAGCGTAAAAGCTTCCAATGGATTAGAAATTAGGGAGAAACTGAGCTTCTTGACAGACACATTAGAAGCCAGAGGAAAATGAAATACTCTGTTCAAGATTCAATGGCTTCATATCTAGAATTCTATACCCAGCCAAATAATGCTAATCCATATGAAGGCAAAATGAAGCTATTTTCAGACAGGCAAGGCTTCAAAACCTTTAGCATCCTTTCACCTCCACAGGATGGAAGTTGTCTTTACCAAAGACGGAATATAGACTGACAAAAAGGGAAAAGGCAGATTCACCGGGGAAATCACAGGGGAAAAGCCAAAGGCAATTCCCAGGATAATGTATATAAGAAACTGCAGGGATACAGCTGTGTAACATGGCCAGATAGCAGCAATCTAGACTGGGGAAAAGGAAGGCTGGTGTCTCCATGAACAGGCTGAAACAGAGAGGGACCTGATGTGTCTGAATGCACTGAAAGAAGGGTTTTTGTCTCCAGCAGAGTGTTCAGAAATTATATACTTAAAAATCACAATTATTATCTTCAAGGAAAACAAAGTTACACAAATAAAGAAATGTAACAATAGTACACTGCACGTATCCACTGTGATAACTATTTAGATAGCCATAATAATAACAAACACCAAATACTGGTTTAACTCCCAAGAGTGATACAACTATTTTGATGGTGGGAAGAGGAGGCAGGTACGTATATGTGTGTGTGTTGGAATGGGGGGCAGTGCTGGCTGCCAAAATCGAGCTGGACAAATTTGGTTCATTGTTGAGAACATGGGTTTTGGAACCAAACTGAGCTGAAACCCTGGATAGATAATTTATTACCACTGGTACTCTGTAATCTTGGGCAAGATATATAATTTCTCTGTGTCTTGGTTTCCAATCTGGAAAATTTGGATAAATAATATCATCTACCATATTGTGTCATTCATTGTGAAAATTAAAAGTCAATATGCATGAAGTACCTGGAATATTCTTTGGTACATTGTAAGTGCTTTATAAGCGGCAGCTATCATTTTATCTTTTGCAGTAAGATACCAATAGACAACAGAGATAATATCTAAAATTGAAAGTCCATATAAGTATGTTATTGAGAAATACAAAATACTAGAGAAAACACCTAAAAGCAAAGCAAATGTCTGATTCAGGGGAGAAGGAATGAGAACAGGGGAGGTTGGACACATGGACAGCCAGTTTTTGTTACAAGGCGTTACTATCACATGCACCTATAGCACTTGGACAAAAAAATATAAAAATCAATAAAACTTTTTAAAAAAAGTCTAAGGATATCATCATAATTTAGATATTAAGGGAGTATTTCTACTTTAATATAAGGGGTGTTGTGTTTAAAAACACTAAAAGCATTCTATGTAGAACAAAACCCAGCATGATTAGAGTTGAGTCAATACCAAGTAAAATGTTAATTTGAGGCTTTTATCTGAATAATATCAGGATGATTCAAGACTCCCTGAAGCCTTCAATTACTTAGTCCTGAATAACCAGTATTCAAATTTAAAAAAAAAGCAAAAAGTGTTTGGGTAATTCTGGCATGAATTATTCAGATAATTTGCTGCTCTTGATTTCATTTTTGGATATAAAATCACATTCTCTGTGACCAAAATTGGAAAGAAGGCTTAAATTTAAGTAACAGTTTTTTAAGTAATCTAACCTGCTGACTCATCTGTGCCTGGATTCCATATTTCTACAGCCCCGGGTGACTAGATGGCAAGTTTTTTTAGAGAATCTGCCTAAAATGGTCCATGAGTATGCACTACATATTCCTACTGATGGCCAAAACAGGTAGACTGACTTAGCTATTTCTGTGATCTCCTTCAGATTTTCACTGAGAGCATATCTATAAATGCTCATCTTCTAAAAAATAAGATTCTGGCTCAAAGAATAAAATATATACTTGAAATACTCAGTATTAAACTCACTGTAGTGGAGAAGACTTGTAACTAAAAGGCCTAGGCTTCTACAGAGCATACCGTTCTTTCTTCAGGATGACAGGCTTGCTTGTCTTGTCTCTTCCCTCTCCTTCCTCCTTTCCCTCTCTCTAGCTTCCTCTCCTTCATATATTCTAAAGTCCCTACCCTGTGCCAGGCACCAAACTAGACACTGGGGTGCAGACTGGGGGATGATGGTGCTACTGAGGGTCACCACTCCCAGGAAGTTCTTACACCTTTCATGGGGTTGACCATGGTTTAACTACATCCTCTCAATTTTCTTCTGATCATTCTCTTGCTAAATGAAGAAACATGCCTTATTCTGGCACGGCAAAATTGCCGACGATG